TGATGCCTTTCAGATTTGCACCAAGCAGCAGATAACACACGTGATCACGTGATTTGTAAAAAGACTGGGGTTTTTTTATGATGTTCTCTAATCAGACGCAATTTTTGTAACTTTATGATGTTTTCATAACTTTTCTCTGTTACATTACGCATTTTGACATGAAAGGTTACCACCAACAGCAAATTATATATATATATATATATATATATATATATATATATATTGAATAAATATTGAATAAATTCAATGAACCTATCTCTTTGACCGACTCCAGAGTATCGCGTAATACCGCTAATCAGGGTCAAATGCCCTGGTTATTCTTTTGGATTATTACCATATTACCATATTTATACTCCATAAAACAAAACTGATCGTAGACTTCAAATTAGAAATATATACATACAACTCTAGAGTCCATTAACTAGTAGTTAAAATATTCGATATTTTATTAACACAGTAAATTCATCAACCAATTATTATTATTATTATTAATATTATTGCTGTTGTTGTTGTTATTATTATTATTAGTAGTAGTAGTAGTATTAGATGGTGTAAGGTTACTGGGTTGACCAATAAAAGACTGCAAAATGTATCGTAAAGTTTAGTTAGATTGTGGGAAGTGGATTGGGCCGAGAACTTCTTATCAAAACCCAAGTAATATCTTCCTGTCAGTGCCCACTGAACCAACCATATATATATATATATATATATATATATATATATATATATATATATATATATATATATATATATATATATATAATGTGTGTTTGTGTGCTTATAAATATTTGCATAGACAAAATTTGTTGAAAGTCTACATCTTGCATATATCTGTTTTTCTAAATTATATTCATATAAACACACTCGAACACACGTGCATGGAGATTCATGCATTTTGACATCGATTATGTTAGATTTCCTATGTTCGAAGGTCTCTTTTCTTACCCATTTTTCTCTGTTAAAATGACTGCTCATCTCGGCTCACATAATAAGCAAAGACGGTCATAGAATTTCATTTTTTAACAGGATTAAATCCAGTATTTGAAGGACGTTGACGAATGCTTATCGATATGATATGCATATAGCATAGGCGCAATAAGGTGACGAGTCAGTAGAGCTAATAGCAATCCATTGGAGAAAGGTTAAATTGACCTTAGTGACAAGCCGCTTCTATTAATACTGACTCCTACAAGAACAGAAAACTCAGAAAAAAAAAAGTTTCTTCCACTTAGACCACATTTTAGGATGAGAGGTGTGCTTTTGCAATATGTTAAATCAAGGCCTCGCACTAGCTTTAAAACAGCGCAAACACCTATGCAAACAATCACAGCCTCATTCACCCTGTCGTCCTTACCTGGTACTGTTAGACTTTCATCTATTTGGGCACACGAAAGAAAAAGACTGCAGTCCTCCAATGATACTGGCGTGAAACAGGCAACTCCCACATCCATCTTTCACATTTATAAATCTACCATTCTTACATTGAATACTGTTGTCATATCTGGTCTTGTGCCGCCTGTTTTACATCTTGAGATTCTTGACAAAATTCAAAGAACGGTGTGTAATGTAATCGATCTGGGCCTAGCATCTCGACTTCATTCACTTTCCCACCAACATGTCGTGGCTTTCCTCTGTCATTTCTACAATTATTTTCAGGGTAACTGTTCGGATGACCTTTTCTTCCCTAGGACCTTGACTACATGAATTTAAGCGTGCTACTAGATTGGCAACAAGGTCTCATCATATTACTGTTGAACTAGCTAGATGCAACCGGCACTTCTACTCTAACATTTTCTTTTCTCGCAGATCTCACCTGTGGAAATCCCTTCCGATTTCTTGCTTCCCTGATAGCTACAATGTTCAAAATTTTATTTTCAACTTCAACCGTCATCTGACTTCTTGAATCCCGTTTCTTTATTGTGCTTTTCTTCACTTCACTTCTACTAACTAAAGTCTACTCATTCTCTTTCATTCCCTGTAATCTCCTGTGTCTTAGTGGCATTATCGCCTTGCTTGGGATAAAAAGATTAAAATAATGACTAAGAAAGCTACTAAGAAATTTCTACGGATATATATATATGTCATGATTCGTAAATGGAATACCATAATTCAAAGGAAGGATAATTTGTTGAGGTTTAGATTTGAAATACTTCCACTGCTGTGTAAATTTTCGTAAGTTTTGTTTTCTACTCTAAAACGAGTTGTAATTAAAGATGAACAACATTTCTTTCTAAGTGACCGCGAATCACATTTGTGAAGGAAAAAGAGAATTTTGACGACTAAATTTACATTTCAGTGGCTTTTGTTTTCATTATGGTGCACATTGTTTCCTTCTACTATTAAATATGTTGTAATTAAAAAATAACAGGTATTACCATTTGAGTGACTCTTAAGAAAATGATACGAACTCTCACGTGAATACACGAAATGCAATAAAAAACCAACACGCAATATTTAAAAAGTTAAACTGACGATATTGTGTCGAGTAAGTAGCCATCGTTAAATACAAAATAACTAACAGAACTGTTCAACACACAGAATTGACAAAGTCTTCAATAAACAATGACACGAAAAAGAAAAGAACAGGGCAAAAAATAATATAAAGCAAGTAAACAATATATGCAAGGCAAATTAACACTAATAAAGCAAAGCAACAGCATTATGGCAAAACGTTCACAAACTAAGAATTGGAGTTTACACACAAAATCAAGTTCGGATAGGTAGCGTTCTGACTTCAAGACATGACAGATCGGGACTCGGTAAAATGAAACAGAGAACCAGCCTATTTTATTGGCTAGGAAAAATGTCGGCATTCATTTGTGTGCTTCTTTCTATAAAAAAAAGGAGTGTAAAGTGTTTTGCAATCATTCCTACACAGACTGAAACCAACACATTGTAAATAGCAAAATGTCTATGAAAATGAGTAGTGTTAGCCGAAAGTGCTTAAACATAGGAAAATGTATCTATAAATACGAACCGGAAACCAGAAGAATTGGTAGAAAAATCGAACAAGTAAATAAAAAAAAATCAACAAGGAAATTTATTTATTTTTAATCAAACATTCATATATATATATATATATATATATATATATATATATATATATACTTCAAAAATTTTATTTTAGGAGATCAGCTGAATTCGTTACCTTGCTTTCAACTTTACGGTATCCCCACTCGATTTTTAACAATTAATTTCACAATGCTTTAATTTAAAGAAAACGAATGAACTATATATTATTTGTAAAAAAATAAATAAGCAAAAAACTTTGGGTGTGATGGAAAAGGGGGTGGGGATTGTGAAGAAGAAGAAGAAGAAGAAGAAGAAGAAGAAGAAGAAGAAGAAGAAGAAGAAGAAGAAGGGGAGGAGAATAAAAGTAAGAATATTTTAAATGTACCAGTGGGGAGGAACTGAAATATACATACTTTTTTATGAGCTTAAGAGGAATGTTTCTATGTATGCAAGGGCTCATGAATATGGATTTTTGATTCAAAAGATTCTTTGGATCGGGAATGTTATTATTGCTATTTTTTCTGTTGACGGAGGTTACAAATATTATCGTGGTTGTTATAAGGCTTCGCCTTTTAAAAAAATTTCCAGCTTACAATCGAATCCCTGCTGTTTTTTTCTTTTAAATTTTTTCTTTTAAATTCCACACACGGTTAGCTAGTTTGGTAAAGCTTCTAAGACTTACTTAATTACTTGAATGACGATCTATTATTGTACCATCTACGTTTGAAAGTACCTTCAGCACATCCTATGTATATTTTATTCTGGCCAGAATAAATTCCTCTGTGTGTTAAGACCTTATCCGTTTGTATATTGTTTATAAGTCATAGTACAAATGCGTATATAAGGTATTAGAAGAAAAGAAATTTCGAAAATCGGAAAAATCGCTCAATCTGAATGTAAGAGGAACGTTTGCTGCTATACTTGTAAGTAAATTTTATGAAATTATTCTATACATGTCGAAAGGGGGTAAATAGCTAAGCTTAGAATCCTATTGTTACTGATGATATCGCTCTCATTTGCTTTTATAAGTCGGTAGATGCTGCTGATGGGACAATTCAAAGTAGGCTCAGGGAACGCTAGTATACAACCCAGGACCCGGTTCCAAATCTGAAAGAAAAAGCCATGTTCAAGAAAGACAGACATTTCGAAAAGCAATATAAGTCAAAATTTATTTTTAAAAGAAAGAATACCATTGAACTTAATAGAAGGAATTTCATTTATGACATTCGAAAAATCATTTAGTTTAATGCATTTTCTGGTTCCTTTTATCATTTTTTCGTTCGTTTCATTCCAGCTCATCTTTATTCATGATTGTTCACTTTTATTTTATGTTCTACTTTTTATTTCCTTTCTCTTAAATTCATTTCATTTTTCCAACAAATTTCTTGATTTTTATTAATTTTGCCCTTAAATTTATTGCTTCATTTTTTTTACAGCGTAATTTTTTTTTCTCATTTTTTTTCTCACTTTATTTCTTCACTTTTAAGATTTTTGTTTAATTTCTTATTATTTCTTTACTTCTTTTTCTTGTACTTTTTACATGCATCTTTCTTTTGTGTTTTTTTATTGATTTCCTCCTTTTTTTTAATTAACGTCCTTCTGTATTCATTTATTCATTTCTAATCACGAACCCAAGTGACAGAGGAAGAGTAATATGTTAAATTCTAAATAGAATAAAACAGCCTTCAGAATTAATTTCTAGCATCGCTTAAAAATAGATGCCATATAAATACCGTATATATTAGTGTATAAATCAGATTTTTATGATCAAATTATTAGACTGAACGTAAGGGTCGGCCTGTAGATGGACAGTTTTTTCGGGTCAAAACTCATTGCGTGATGAGGATGGATGGAATTCGCTCTTAGCATTCAACATGAAAATATTCACATATTACAAAAAAAAAATGACGTACTATAATATTCCATTAAAATTCTATAGATGCTTATTGTCAAGTGTATCTACGATTTGGAATTAAAATATAAAAGTCTTACGGCCACATCACGTTGAAAGACAGTTTCCCGTACGATCACCGAAGTTAAGTCATGTTGAACCTGCCAGTACTTAGATGGGTGACCCCTTGGAAATACCGGGTATGTAAGCTTTTATATGCGGGTGATGCAATTGTTTGGAATTATTAATCGGAGAGCCAAGTTTCAATTCCTGTTGAGTTTGTTATATTCACTTCACGTATTCAAATACCCACGAGAAAGGTATGAATCCACATCTTCTTCCCCACGTATGGGTTAATTAGTAAGACTTGTATCACTAAACCATTGTTATCTCAAAAAAGTTCTTAAACTCTAAAATATCTTCTGGCTTTAAATAACCCGCAAAGGTTTGATAAGCCGTAGAAAACGAATCAATAAAGCCATTAATTTTAAAACTTATTTACAGCTACTTTTATTTTTTTAAATACTAATGTTCACACAGAGCAAGGCATAAGAGACCCTCAAGGTAAAGCGTTACTGTGTGGTGTTGTATGAGCGTAAGAAAGAGAAAGATGTGAAGTCCATGGGGCTATGCAAGAAAGATAATAGCTAACTGAAAAAAAGAAAAGGTCAAAATTATCGTTATTGGGGAATTATCCCGCTATGAGCTTGTTCCACAAAGCAGTAACTGTTATGAAGAAGCTATCCGAATGGCATTTACTTCTCATTAATTGATTACGAAGGGAATGGGAATGATTCACTCTTGTGTACGTAGCACTGGGGATCATAGTTGTGAAAGTCAGGCATGGTGGGCTAAAGATTGTAGCTAATCAGAACACATGCCATGGAAGTAGCGATAAAGCAACGAGAGGTTCGTAACATTTCATCTGAAAGTAAGGTTCTCTCAGGTTGAAAATATTTCATCACCCATAGAGCCGTGTAGATGTTTTTCGAAATTTATCAAGACAGGCAATTGAGGAGTGAACAGCTTCAACTCAGCTATGGCAGCGATACTTCATTTTTGATCTGATCTAGCTCTTTTAAGGATAGATTATAGTAGTTGGCGTCTGATACTTACTGCACAGGTACACTGAACCAACCATTTTTTCCAGCATCTTTAGCAATATATTGTAGGTTCCACATGAGGTCTGAGGAGAGCTTGAGTCTAAATAGATGTTCAAGACAAGGAGGTACCTTGAGAGATGAACTATCCATCAGGATAGATGAAAGTTCGGGGACTGTTTGGCACTGGTGAAACAGTTTTAATATTATGGAAATCTATATACATTTGATTCTTATTTTCATTTCAAACAATAATAGTAAAGGTAATATTACCTGTTTCCTTAAAACAAAACATTCGTCATTCATCGATCAAGCAGCCATTGTTACAGTCAGTTGAAATTTTTTAAAACTTTATATTAAAACATTTTTCAGGAAAATAGCTTTCTCACGTCCACTGTTATCGCTCGTTCCAGTATTAATGAGAACTTCTTTCCAAGCTTTTTATTTGAAGTTGTGTGGAACGTCAACATCTTGATTATATCATTATTTTTCCTTTAAGTTACATGTTTTTTTTCTTTTAGTTGTTTGGCTGCTTTTGAAAGTTCTCGAGTGATATGGTTTCTGTTATTTGATAGAGTTGTTTGCGATTCTGTAGCGTTTCTCCACAACGGTCGAAGAAAGATGGTCTTCACCATGACCCAATCTTCACTCACTCAAAACCATCTTTGTTCATTGAGCTGAAAAAGGGGTAGATATACAGCAAACAGTTCCTGTGTTTCAGAGCGGTTTGGTACCATACATAACATCCATATGAAAGTCTCTATTTGAATAAACTATTTAAGAACATGACTCGAGTTTTCTGGTTAATGTTTTAGTTTTTTAGCAATTTTTGGTGTTTGACGAAACTATCTTTAGCTCAGCCTATTTTATATTCAATTTCCTTGTCTGCTATACTTTCTTTTATTTTTATGTGCCATGTCCTTTCAGGACGTAGGAGATCATGGCTCTCCACCTCCCTCTATCCCTTGCAGCTCTCAACAAGTTCCTTCCCTCTGCTTCCTCTCCCAAACAACGTTCTGCCATCCACTTGCCTAAGCCCGCCAGGTATGTCAAGCGTTGTTTTTCCTTGTCTCTCTTTCTCTCTATTCGACCCGTGAGTATCAGATTCTCCAGGTTCTCTTTCCTCATCATGTGTCACAGAAACTCTAGCTGCCTCTTCCTGATGTTAAATATAAGCCTCCTCCTTGTTTGCATCCTTTCTAAGACCTCATCCTTGCTCACACGCTTCCTCTATTCGACCCGTGAGTATCAGATTCTCCAGGTCCTCTTTCCTCATTATGTGTCCCAGAAATCCCAGCTGCCTCTTCCTGATGTAAATTATAAGCCTCCTCTTTGTTTGCCTCCTCTCTAAGACCTCATCCTTGCTCACACGCTCACTCCTTGATATCCTTAGCATCCTACTGTCGAACCACATCTCCGTCGCCTCGAGTCTCTTCTTCATCTTTGAGAAAATCGTCCAACATTCGCTACCGTCAAGAAGGACAGATATCACGTAACAGCTCAGTATTCTTTATATATATATCAGTATTCTATATATATATATATTTATACATATATATACATACATATATTCATACATACATATATATGCATACATATATATACATACATATATATATACTTATATATACGTATATATATACGTATATATATATATACATACATATATATATATACATATATATACACATATATATATACATATATCATATATATACTTACATACATATATATACACATACATATATACACACATATATATAAATACATATATATACATAAATATATACATACATAAAAAGAGGACAACTGGAAAATATATTTCTCAGTCATTGACGACGCGTTTCGTCAATCCGACTTTATCAAGGCAAGTTTAAAAGCGATAAAATCGGATTGACGAAACGCGTCGTCAATTACTAAGAAATATATTTTCCAATCGTCTTTTTTATCCAAATTGTCTTACCTTCAGAATTATTCTGGGAAATATAACACATACATTATATATATATATATATATATATATATATATATATATATATATATATATATGCTGTGTTACTTCAGGACGTAAGCGATAATCTCTCTCCACAATTTCCTATTCTTTCTATTTCTTAGTGAGTTTTCTCTTTTCACTGTCTCTCACACTCCCTATTCTGTCACACATTTACACAAACTTCTTAAGACGCCATAGATTTCCAAGTTGGCATCTACGCGGACGACACTACAATTTACTCCTGCCTCAAAAACAAATCTAGTGTCGCTGACAAAACTAACCTGGGCGCTCGTCTTGAAATGGACCTCCAATCGGTTGTTAATTGGGGCAAGAATTGGCTGGTCAACTTTAACGCCTCAAAAACTAAACTACTCTCTATTAATCACCATAAAGATCCTTCTCTGCCCCCCATTAGAATGTCTGATAGTCAACTTCTTGAGAGCAACTCTCTGCGTCTGCTCGGTCTCACGTTGACTGCTAACCTGAGATGGAACAAATACATTGAGTCAATTGCTTCGTCCACCGCGAGGAAAGTTGGCTCTCTGTGCCGCGCCAGGAAAATTTTCTCCCTTGAATCGATACTTCAAATATACAAATCAACCATTCGCGCTTGCATGGAGTATTGCTGCCATATATGGTCTGGGGCACCTTCTGTTTACCTCGGAGTTCTTGACAAGATCCAGAGACGGATATGTAATATAATTGGCCCTGATCTGGCGTCTCGTCTACAGTAACTCTCTCACAGACGCGCCGTCGCCTCTCTCTGTCTTTTCTACAAATACTTTCATGGTAATTGCTCCGATGAGCTGCTTTCACTGGTTCCCAGTCTTCATGAATTCAAACGCCCTACGAGGCTGGCATCCCGCTCCCAACCTTACACTGTAGAAACTTTTAAATGTAGCCGTCTCTTCTACTCCAATAGCTTCATACCTCGCACCACTCGCCTGTGGAACACCCTTCCTAATGACTGTTTTCCTAAGAGGTATAATCTCCAACTATTCAAATGTAATGTCAATCGACACCTCCAGTTACCTTGATCTACCCACTATTCTTTTCCTCATCCTTTCTTCTATCACTCCTATCTGCTCTTGCTCAGAATCTTCTGCAACCCCCTGCATCCTAGTGGCTTCACGCCTTGCTCGGGGCGTAATGCTTAAAAAAAAAAGTATGTTACTTCTTGTTTACCTGTATTTTTCTTTATATTCAACCTGTCCTGTCGAATGTCGTAATCAGCAAAACCCCTTTCCCCAATAAAGGCCACATAAATTTCAATTGTCTCTTCCTGGGCATAGGTATAAGCGTTATTTTGTTTCCATATTCCTTAAAACTTTTTCGTCACTCATATGTGCATTCCATGGTATTCGCGGCATCCTTCTGTAGTACCACATCTCTATTACCTGTCTTCTTAATATACATACATGCACTTGTTGCTCTCTCACTCAACAGCGCCCCGCATATAAGAATCAAGGGGTTTGCAGTCTTAGGCTTAGGTGTACAGATGTAAAGTGTGATGTGGTCGCACAAATGTTGCCAGGTATAGGGTCTTCCAGCAGCCACCCTCTTGATACAGTACTATCTCCTTAAAGTACTTAATGTAGGCCTTCGTGTTGAGTCTGAGGCCCTGTGGGAAGATGAATGGAGGCATAACGTTGCCATCACTAGTGATCACTCCAAACACATTCGTAATCACCATTAGACTCATCCAACTCTTTCCTAATCCTCTGCTCTATCCTCAGATTGACACCTAAATACTCTGAAATGTTAGTATTGGAACTTTTGGCTCGAATGTCAAGCAGTACAGCATAATGCTTCCAAAATTTCTGGCGGAGTGAATTGCGTCAAGGTGGCCTTTTTCTCACCAACTGACCCTACAATACTGTGCGGTCGACAAAATCAAAAGCAAACAACGCGCATGCGCGAAAATTAAAATATAAAATGGCGACAATTTACCCATCGCACCCTGTATATGTATATACACATGATTCAGGTATATGTAAAAAAAAAAATGTTTGAAAATAGCATTTGTTGAATATTTGATAGCTGTAAATGATCATTATTCGTATAAGGAATGAAGTATATATATCCTTTTAAGCAAACTTACATGCAAAT